CCCCAAAACCCCAAAACCCCAAAACCCCTAGAGAATAGATAAGTAAAAATTCGAAAGTATGTGAAATAATTTGAATTAGAAATAGGATAGGATTGCTAGAATTTATGTCTTAGAAATTGTTATGTGATTGAAGAAATTAAGGTGAAGAATTTAAGATGAATGTTAATGACTTCTAAACATCAAAATAAGAGATGTCCTCAGAAGTATCTATAGAAATTCAATTCAATTGCTCTGATTGCGTTTTCAGCATCGAATAAGTCCATTTCGACTATGTTTACAATATTAAGGAGCTTGTCTGATCTATAGACAGTGTCATAGAATAAGGGGTTGGAGAGTTTAGCTGAAGACTTGAGGTTAGCTGGGATGACTTTAGAACTAATTAAGGGGTCTAGTGGAAGAGGTTAGCTTTCAAATAAGGTCTCATAAACTAGGGTTTCAATGGCTGAATCAGTGCTTGCTGTAACATATGGGTCACATTTCAGCATATCAAAGTCAATTGGATCTTGCTTAAGGTATTAATCGCTTTCGTAGTAGTTCTTGATATTCTTGACAACTTGCTAAGGATCAGCGTCCTAGGTAATTGCCCAACCAGCTTTGATTTTAATTTGAGAAAGAGTCGAATTCTATTCAAAATTGGTGAAATAAACACCTCCATAAGTAGATATAGGTTGGCTGATGTTATCTCTTGTCAAAATGAATTTACTATCAATATTCTGCCTAATCTAGGCGTCAATTTCCTAGTGAGGTACTGGATTGCCAACAGTTCCAAATGGGTCATAGTCTACTGGGATATCTAGGATAATAATCTCACCTGGATTAGCTTACAAAAATTTGTTTACAATGGCAAGAGAGTCGTTTAGTCTGATTTTAGATAGGAAACAATGAGATAGGTATATCTCATTGGGATCGTCTAAATCTTGAGAGATTCTAAGGTCAAGGTATCTACCTCCTTACTATAATATCTCTTCAACAGAGTAAACATGTGGCACAAGAATAGAGTTTATTAAGTAAGAAATGAACTCTTTTGGCTTGCTATCATATATATCTTTAAGACCGAGCTTTCCAAATATTGCTTCAATAAGCTCAAAAAAGGGTAATAGATAAGTAAGACCAGCATGATGAGCTCCTGGTATTGTGATCTAGTTAATCTTAAGTTGACTAATTTTTGGGTTCTTTTTAAGATCAGTCATCCAGGAGCTTAGACTTACAATTTAAGGAACATCATCACTAACGCTCAAACTTGATCTTCTAGTAGCGCTCCATGAATCAGAGACTTATGTGACTTTCTAGGAGGACTCAATCTGCAAGAATCCATTTTAAGTCGATTCCTAATTGGGGAGGAAGAAATCGCCGTTTTGTTAGAGTTAGGTACTCAAAGCTAAACTGCTTTGGATGATACCTATTGTTGTTAAGGTCGTCAAAAACGAGAATTTTCTAAGCATTTATTTTCTAAATTTATAATTACTTTAGAAGGTATTATAAAGTGAAGTGGATCCTTATAATACACAATTTTATAAAGATTTATTGTTACTATATATTGACAAATATTATTAATTTTATCAGCATTCCATCTTTTGATTATGTGATCTGTCGGGGTTTTGGGGTTTTGGGGTTTTGGGG